AAACTGTTTTGATATCCTCTGTCGCTAGAGAAAATAGCAATGTATCTGTGCTTGTACGTAGCGGAATTTTAATTCTTTTCACCGAAACAAAAGGCTGTGAGATTCGGAATGGTTCTGTCGATGGTGTATAAGACTCAGAATTGCTTTACCCCATCACCCGATTTTCTAAAAAATAGAGAACACAGCGTTTCGGAAACTGGATCTGTTGCCGTCCTCATGTGAGTGGGAGACACCTACTCTGTTGGGTCCCCTAGAGGAAGCTAGCCTCTAGGTTAGGCGTCTCACTCATCTGAGGACGGAAACAGATACAGTTTCCGAAACGTTATGTTATAATTTTTAGAATACCGGATAATGGACACGTTCTAAAAAAAACAGTATTTCTGAGGCTGTGAAAGTTGCCTGCACTGTTTAACCGGGGGTTTAGGAGCATTTCAGTTAATGTTCTAAGTATACACAGTGAACATCAGCTAGCATAATGCGAGATGCATGGGCCTGTGACGCTGTGTAGGCATCTGCGTTACATGAAACCCCAAGTCTTACAGGAGGTGCTGATAATGAATAAGCCTACTTCAGCCATCACTTATTCAGGCCTACCTTCTTTTCTGAAACCATTTCGCAATAAAGCTGTTGGCCTGTCCCTACATGAGACCTATATGTTTATCAAGCTTTGTTTTCGAAAAAAAAATCCTCTTTAATGCGGTTTTAATTGTGTTCTTCCCGTGTGGAGGCTTGTTAAAATACCTCAACCGTAGCCCTTCGAGTCGTAGAAGGGGACGAAAAGGGAACCCCATGCCTGGGGGTAAGAGCAGGGCCACCCTGTCAATTGGGGACTAAGTGCAGGGACCAGGTTGCGAAATCCAAGGGAGTGATAACCGGATGTGTCTGACAGAATCTTCTGAGGAAGGCTGTGGCTCAGAAAGGGATATTTTGCCGATGATGATAGGTTATGTTCAGTAGTTCGAGATTATGAACACCATACGTCCTGAGAAGGTGACAGTCGCTTAACTGGCCTTTCGAAAACACTGTTCATTAGCATGTTCACAAAAGCCACCAACTTGGCCCCATTCAGAGTCTTCAAGACCACCTAAATGTCATCTTCCTTTAATGCTTTCCAACTAGAACTATGTATATATGTACGTATATCATATCTCTCTCATACGTACTGTACGTGAACCTCCATGATTTAAATACCCAAATAATAAATAGAAACCACTCCGTCCAATGTGACATAAGTTTTTACTACATGAAAACTTTTCTCCCTTATATGTTTCGGTCCTTACGGACCATCTTCAGAGGGAACATCATTACGAACTGGAAACTACCATCCCAATAGGTGTTTTGATTTAAAACACATACACTTATATTCTGTAATGCACAGTACGCATAAAGTCGAACGTTTCACAATCACAGCAGCTTCCTGGTATTGTTAAGTTTTTAAAGTTTCCAGATGTTAA